CTTTCAAAGAAACAAAGATATATCTAATATATTAATATACTATCCCTCCCTCCCCCACTCTCTCTCTCTCTCTCTCTCTCTCTCTCTCTCTCTCTGTAAGGGTGTGTGTGTAGAAGAGATAGAGATCTAATCATTTTTTATATATCTTTTGTTCTAAAGGATCTGGAGGGTTTATTCCAGAAGTGCCAGGTAGGAGTTAATTCAGCTTCTTCTCCTATCGATAATAGACACCAAATATATATTGATTTTTTTTTAATTTTATGATATTTAATATTTATAATATATCATTTATTTCTCCTTCATATCATCTTATCGAGTTGCATTTTGTAATAACTGGAGCATTTTGTGATTCCTTTTAGTAGAGATGGAAGCTGATGTGGCGGAGTCCCAGGGAAATAAAGATCTTTGTTTCTCTGGTAATGAATCTGACCTAGATATTCTATAATATCTAATAATATCGGAGATATTCTATAATTTGCAGTTGATATATCTAAGGGAAACAAGAATATAAGTTTGCTAACTGTGATCTTTTAAGGATAAAATCATGCTGAAGAAAAAAATGAACTTATTTTTTAACAATGTTTTTCCTAAATAACAGTCATATTTTTTGGATATTTTCCCAGATGATACCAACGATGAATCGTCTGTGAAACAGTGGAAGGAGGATAGCCTACGGAAGTGGTTGGAGCATCAGTCCCAAATGGCGCGTGGGTCACACAAGTTGGACAGAGTTTCAACGTCTGTGTCGCTCCCCAAAGATAGAAGATTTGAGACTACAGGCTCTCAGATTTCCTCCAGGGAAGGAGAGCTTAGGAGAATGTTGAACGAAGCAATCACAGAAAAGGATTCAGAGAGTTTATTTTCCATGGAGGAAATTTCAAAGTTCAGAAAAGGTAAAAAGAAAAAACCGTCAACCCGAAAGACTGTTGAGGAAAAGAAAACTGTAAAAAGACTCCGACAAAAACATGCTTGTTTACAGTGTGGGAAGAGAGTTGTCCATATGCGGCGGCATATTAGGCAGGTCCATAAGCAGGAGGTGTTTGAAAAACCGGTGAGGCAAGGGCGTTACATTGTTCGCCAATGTATTTTGTGCAACAAGGCCATTGCACGCTTTGGGGACCATCTGAGGAGGACGCACCACATCTCCAAAAGAGAACGCATTGAGGACCTCCGCTTCCGTAGTCCCAAAGTTGTGGACAACTTTACGACGTAGGTTGAATTTTGAAGCATTAATTCAATCGTATAGAAATATATTTCTTCAATTATCCATATTTCTTCATTTTGTAGTGATGAATGTGTACCTTCTCTACACCTGGAGAACCTTACAGACCCAAGTGATGATGAAAGGTTTGTGAGCACAAGCATACTTGTATGACTTTAATTTGATTTTATTTGCACTAGAGCTGAATAATCATTTGAACTGTTTGTAGGGAAAGTACCATCTGAGATGGACCGGTTCGTATCAGGTTACTTCGAGAAAATTAAAATTTAAACTTTTCCCATTAGTATTTTTTAATTCAGTGTGTATCATAAACCACATTGTAATTGTTTAAGTGTATGTCATTTGACCAATAAAAAATAATGAAACCAAAAAAAATAACTGAAAATAGAAAAGGAACTTATACTGATTTACAAGTAAGATAGCATTTTTGGCTATGCGACATGTCCCTCGTCTTGATGATGCAGGTTAAGCAACGTCAAGCATGATCAGTACTTGGATGGGGACAGCTGCACGTTGCAAGGTTTCACAAAGGGCTATCAAGTGATATAGTGATGATACAGCACCATTCTGAATCACATTTGTGGAAGAATTAAGCATCTGAATATCACACAAACGTTTCTTTTGTTCTTAAAGATAAAGGTTAGACTAATTCAGTAACTGCAGGAATTCATTGATCACAGTAAAAATAAGCATTCCTTTCTTAAACATTAAGGGTAAAATTGAATAAAAGCAGGAATTCTTTGCTCATAAAAATTAAGCATTTTTCAAATAAGCAAGGATTTTGTACAGATAAGTAAGGATTAGGGTTAAAATAATCCGTAGTTTTATTCTTATCTTAGTCACTCAGCTTCGGCAATTCCATTTAATAATCTAAGAGGCATCTGAGCGAATATTGTTATTTTAGTAACCATTTAATGCACAAACTCTTGGTTACTATTTCCCACCCTTTTATCCAATCCCACAGAACACATAACAACCAAGTGGACATTCTAATACTCTTTTTCTTTCCTTTGCCCCATAGAAAATATTGAAATGCAATCAGATTACCGTTTCTCGCACGTTACCCAATACGGCTTTGTTACCAATTCCCGCTATATCGTTACCAAATCCCACTCTAGGTTACCATTTCCCGCACAAGTTACTCAATCCCGCACAAGTTACCAATTATCGCTTTAGGTTACCAAATAACGCTCTGAGTTACCAAATCACTCATTTGCTTTGATTTGGTAAACTATTGAAGCAAAGGGTATCATCTCCCTGCATGTTAAATATAATGAACCCATTGACGCTATAATCCCTTGATCCATTTGGCATACCCATTAGAAATGCGTTCAATGAGTTTATGTTACCATTTCCCGCACTTGGAGTTACCAAATACCGTTGGAAACTATTTCAGGATTTTCGTTGGAGTTTCAAATAAAATTCGTAAATTAATGCCAAATGGTAATAATCTTACTATGAATTCTCGATGAAAAAGACCTTCTAACTGGTAGGACGAAAATCAATTGAATTTGAAAAAAGAATAGTGAGTATGAGGAAGGGTTTAATGGGTAATGCGTAGAGGTATATAAGGTGAGACTAATTGGAAAAGAGTTCGGTTATATTTGATCAGGATTAGGAGTAATGGGTGTACTATGTAAATTTAAAATTGTTCAGGGTACACTAGGAAAACAGCAGTGGTTAGGTGTCTGGGTATGCTAGGTCAGGGTTAATAGGGGATATAGTGATGATGAAAAGAACGGTCTGAAGCAGAATTGATTAAAGCTTATTCTGAATATATTTTTTTAAAATTTGCTGAAGTGTTTTGTGACATTTTGGTAGAGAAGATCAGGAAATCAGAAGAATGGAAACAGTTAGAGAAGCTTGTATTTATGGGTGAGTATATTCACATTTGCAATACTTCTCAGATATTAACAATGAAAATGATTTTGACAAATGAATCACTTGTTTGTTCTTGATAATAAATTTTTATGCTATTTATAGGAAGAGTGTGGAAACAGTGGAAGAAGTTCCTAGCAGTAGGTTGGTATCTTCATTTTTCTTGAATAAAGGAATGTGATAGAATTTGATTGTTACATCAGATAAATATTTAGAAATATTCTCAAACCATCAGAGAAAAAATTTCAGTTTTGATTCACTTCCTACATTGCCTTTCTTTTTTCTTTCGTAATGTCACATGATGTAACAGAGACTTTTCATTTCTTTTAGGTCCTCTGACGACACGATCCTCTACTGGCCTCGCCCAGACCCAGGAGAGAAATACCAATCATGTACCGACGGTAAGCCAATGCTCTAGAATTTTGAAATCATTTCTATTTATCTTTATTTGGTCTGTCCATCTCATTGAATTTAATACTTTCTTTTTTATGCTTCCGGTATGTAGTAAGTTGCTAAAATGGAATGATGTATTCAATATTTTTTTTGCTATCAGAGATATGAATAAAGTTTTTTTTAATTCAAGTTCCAATCCTGGCCCGTTTTAAAGCGACCCTGAAGGGCCCATTGTCGCTTCAAGATGAAAAAACGGCGCACCAAATCGTTACCCATATTTTTAATATCTGGAAGGTGGTGCGGAAGACCCCTACATTCTTTGTGGGGGATCTTGTAGATGAGGAAAAAATCTTCGAGGTTTGGTTCAACACAGCCATGGAGCAGTGGCAGGCGAGCACTGTGAAAGCTTACATGAGAAGCTTGGGGGACTTCTTAGCATTTTGTGTTAAGGCAGACCTGCCAACTGGAAAGAAGCAAGAGCACCTCCATCGAATGATACAGATGTTGAAAGATGCCAGGAAGAGCTTGCGCAAAAAAATTGCGCAGAGAAGAACAGAAGTGGAGGCAGATGCGTTAGGTTTGTGTTTCTTGGAAAATCATTGAAAAGCATACATAAGAAAGTAGGTTCATAAGTGACATATAAATATATACTTAATCAAGTTTCTTTTAACAGGCAATTTGATAAGTCCGGAAGAAATCAATCAGTTTTTAAAATCTGACTTAGTGGCGTCTGTAGAGGACGAGATTCGCCAAGCCTCACATATCAATTGTACAATGGAGTTATTTATCAAGGTTCGGGACTACGTGATTTTCCGGATCCTTATAGCAAATGGCCAGAGGGCAGGAGCCTTGCTTTCGATAACGCACGACGTTATTAAAAAACGACAGCTAAGAGAGGAGGGATATGTCACGCTGACTGTGAGTTATCCACACACACGCTTGCATCCAAAGTTGCACTCATACACATAATCAAACATACTCTTAAGCACATTCACTCATACACACTCTCAATCAAAGAAATGAGTTCTTGTAAAAAAAAAAAAAAGTCTTGTGAAGAAATGCTGACATGAGTAACAATGTAAATTCCTATTTGGTGAAAATTCTGCCAAGGACAATTTTTAAAGGAACCTTTAAATTACAGGTAACGAAGCATAAGACGGACTTCAAAGGTCCGGCGATGATCAGCTTATCACCCGAGCTCTGGCTCTTTGTGCAAAAATATATCCACCTCGCAAGGAGATTGCCGAACTTCGTCTTCAAGATGTCGGATTCGATTTTCATTAAATGGCCCACGGGGGGAAAACCTCCACAGCCACTCGACAATTCAGCCTTAAACAAAGGTCTCGGCAGGTTGTGGAATACAATGTTCGGTTCAACCAAACCGATTTCTACAACTAGGCTCAGAAAATCCGTTGTCACCGAAGTGAGAAGGGCTGTACCCACTTCAAGGGATGTGCTAGCTAGGCACATGTCCCATGAGCCTTCCACGGCCGACAGATATAATCACATGTCAGACAAATCAAAGATGGCGGTGCCCGTGTCCAGGCTCATAACGGCTGTCATGGAAGGGGAAAGTGAAGTACGTTTCTATATTGATTTCAACGTTCAAAGCTTCAAATTTGTACAGTTAAGGATGCTCAGAAATCCTGTTTTCTTTTATTTAGGCATCAAGAACTACCAAACAGATTGCACAGACAAGCTCCATTCAAGAGGTATATCTTAATGCACTTGTCTTTATTTCTTGGCATTTACCTTCGGTGAAAATGTTTTATTTTCTTTTTAAAATGTCGGCGAAATATTTTCTTATATTCTAGATATCGCAGACAGGTACTGAGGAAGGTAGTTCAAACCCTAACCCTACCCCTGATTCTGACTCTAAAAAGGTAAATGTTATGATTGTACATGTAATTTTAAAAGCAAATGACTGTTGGAAGCAAAATTTCCGCCACTTCTTCTATTATACGCTACTTCTTCCATTTTTTTTTATTATATACATATCTATTATACCGAAAATCAGAATTTAAAATAGATATACTGAAGCACATAGCTTATAAAAAAAATTCTATGATCATCAAATACTTAAGTCCATTCAAGAGGTATATCTTAATGCACTTGTCTTTATTTCTTGGCATTTTCCTTCGGTGAAAATGTTTTATTTTCTTTTTAAAATGTCGGTGAAATATTTTCTTATATTCTAGATATCGCAGACAGGTACTGAGGAAGGTAGTTCAAACCCTAACCCTACCCCTGATTCTGACTCTCCAAAGGTAAATGTTATGATTGTAATTTTAAAAGCAAATGACTGTTGGAAGCAAAATTTCCGCCACTTCTTCCATTATACGCTACTTCTTCCATTTTGTTTATTATATACATATCTATTATACCGAAAATCAAAATTTAAAATAGATGTACTGAAGCTCGTAGCTTATAAAAAAAAAATTCTATGATCATCAAATACTTAAGTCTCTTCATCATAAAACTTTTAAAATTATGAAATTGTATTTTAAAAAAATGAATCGGACGATATTTAAACATAGTGTGTTTTGAATAGAAAAAGACACAAACACCCGAAGGTTTTCCACAGTTGCCGTCAGGGGTAAGTTATCTGGTACTTCTAATATTTCATTTGCTTAATTATTCATTATCTTAGTTTTTATAAACATACCTTACTTGATTTTAAATGTATTGTAGCCACATAGAAGGAGATCATTTAGTGAGATAGAGGTGAGAACTCTAGTAGTCCTGCTGAGCGGATTGGACGTAACAAAAGGCATTACAAAACTGGCAGTGATTAGCCATCTCCAAGAATCACAGGAGGGAAGGCTGTTCTTGCTAAATATGCAAAATAAATTAGGATCAGAGTACCAAAAGAAAATAATTGACAGAGTAAGAACATTGTTTAGAAAGTGAATTTCTTGAAGTTGAAGTCACGCTTAGAAATGTTGACTATATTTAACAATAGGTTGCTATAGCAAACTATAATAGTTAACTATATAGTTCATAAGTAGTCTGTACGTGATTACGTTTACTATGGTACTATCGTACACCGGTTAAGACTTTATTTGAAACTTAGTCTATGTTACTCAGATTTTTAATTCAAAATTTTAGTCTTGTGAGATTATTCAAAGCCTTGATTATTTGTAGTTATATGTTTCTTGTATTTATTCACATTATATGACTGTCCATTAACGTTAAATCATCATTTCATTATCGAAATTGTTTTATCAAGTTTGATTTTACTTTTAACAAGCAAACACTTAGTTTTTCTGTACCGTTGACTTCTCATGTATAAATAGGTAAAATTTGATAATCAAACTTCAGCGAAAGTTTGACAGTAAAGCAATGATCTTAGATGTGTTTTCTTTCATAAATGATCTTTGATATGGAAAAAAATGGAATCTGGATTTCTTTTTACATTTGTTGATAGAAATAGGAATTCTTCATATGAATACCCCTAATTCTTCCTTAACATCAACTCCTTCCTCTATCATTCCGCTTTTGGAAAGGCTTCAATTGAAAATAAAAGTTAGCATTTCCAGGAAGCTACATAATCTCGCTTTGCTACCAAATCCCGTTATACCGTTACCAAATCCCTCTGTAGATCGCCATTCCCCGTACAAGTTACTCAATCCCGCACAAGTTACCAATTATCGCTTTAGGTCACAAAAACGCTAAAAGAAATTATAGTGCTATACTTTGGTTGAAACGATCAAAATACTTAAATAATATCTTGCATACCTTCCAAAACCCTTGAATGTCATGAAGACTTTGAATTCCTCATGAGAAGATCCTAATAGCTAGTAAGACGAAAAATCAAATGAATTTGAAAAAAAAATCAGGAATAATTAGAAAGGGTATGCTAAGTAAGGTGTATTGGGTAATGGGTGGAGGTATACTAGATCAGCTTAATGAGAAATGAGTCAGAGTATATTAAATCAGGGTTAGGGGTAATGGGTATACAAGGTAAATGAGTAATTGTTCAGGGTATACTAGGAAAGGGCAATGGGTAGGTGTACAGGTATATTAGATTAGGTGTAATAGGTGATATAATGATGATAAAAGGAACGGTCTGAAACACAATTGATGAAGGCTTATTTTTCTAAATATCATAAATTTTTGCCCATATTTTGTTTCCTAATACTAAGTGATCGTATTGTTAGTACTTGCTAGCGTGAACATGAAGTAGCATAAGTCTCCACTGTCAATTTACTATGTACTATAGTAGACGCTATCTAGACCCCCATCTCATCGGACACATAACACTTTATTTCCGAAAATTCAAGAAGGAATATAATTTCATTGACCAATTGACCTTTTTGCTTTGATTTCCTGAAGTACAGTAGCCAAGAGCTTCTTCTTTAAATATCTCTGAGAACGTACGGTCTAACAGACATTTAGGTACTCTTCTCAATGCCCTATGCCCGTAAGAGAGGATTCAAATGAAATCAAGTCAACATTTCCGGCACAAGTTACCCAATCCCCCTTTGTTACCAAATCCCGCTATACCGTTGCCAAATCCCGCTCTAAGTTACCAAATCACGCTTTTGCTTTGTTCTCTTTAACTACAGAAGCCTAGAGTGTCATCTTTCAGAATGTGATAAACTTGCAACTTTTTGAACACTTGTTGCTCTTCTTTAATTCTCCTGCCCTTTACAAAGGTTTCAATTGAAAAAGGTTACCATTTCCCGCACAAGTTACCCAATCCCGCTTTGTTACCAAATCCCGCTATACCGTTACCAAATCCCGCTCTAAGTTACCAAATCACGCTTTTGCTTTGTTCTCTTAAACTACAGAAGTCTAGAGTGTCATCTTTCAGAATGTGATAGACTTGCAACTTTTTGAACACTTGTTGCTCTTCTTTAATTCTCCTGCCCTTTAGAAAGGCTTCAACTGAAAAAAGGTTACCATTTCCCGCACAAGTTACCCAATCCCGCACAAGTTACCAATTATCGCTATACCGTTACCAAATCCCGCTCTAGGTTACCATTTCCCGCACAAGTTACCCAATCCCGCACAAGTTACCAATTATCGCTATACCGTTACCAAATCCCGCTCTAGGTTACCATTTCCCGCACAAGTTACCCAATCCCGCACAAGTTACCAATTATCGCTATACCGTTACCAAATCCCGCTCTAGGTTACCAAATCACTCATTTGCTTTGTTTTCAAGAACTATTGAAGCCAAGGGTGTCATCTTCCTGCATGTGAAAAATTATGAACCCATTGACCAAATGATGCTCTTATCCATTTGTTATGCCCATTAGAAATGGTGTCAATGAGCTTACGTTACCATTTCCCGCACTTCACGTTACCAAATACCGTTGGAAACGTTCAGTAATAATACAAAATACAAAATGACCAAAATTTGACCCATTTTTTGGATAGGAAATGACCCAAATCGTATAGAAAACACGACCACAAAAAACGTTTTTTTTCCTGTTAGATTTAGTCTTTTTTTTCAGCGTTACCAAATAGCGGAAAGAACTCTTCATTAAAACATATTTAATAAAACGCTAAAAGAAATTATAGTGCTATACTTTGGTTGAAACGATCAAAATACTTAAATAATATCTTGCATACCTTCCAAAACCCTTGAATGTCATGAAAACTTTGAATTCTTCATGAGAAGATCCTAATAGCTAATAAGACGAAAAATCAAATGAATTTGAAAAAAAAATCAGGAATAATTAGAAAGGGTATGCTAAGTAAGGTGTCTTGGCTAATGGGTGGAGGTATACTAGATCAGCTTAATGAGAAATGAGTCACAGTATATTAGATCAGGTTTAGGGGTTATATCAACTTCTTGTTATTATAAGTTCAAAATATAGACATATTAGAGTATGTAATATTGTCACTTCCTGTATGTAAACACTACGAATTATATCAAATCAATCACTGAGTTAGAACTTGATTGCTTTTTATGGTCATATACTCCTTAGGGAAAGATGAAAAAATGTCAATATTCAGAAGGTGTAGTCTTCATCAGCTGTGTTTCAGACTTTTACTTCTTCATCATTATATCGACTGGTAGCTATCAACGTGCAGTGGTCACCCACCCAATAGTACGTCACGCTAGACGTCGCTTAACTTGCGTCATGCAAAGCGTGATACATACCTCACAGCCAGAGAAGCTACCTTATTGTAAGTATTTCAAAATCTCTTATATATCTCAGCCATGTCTGTTAGGGTTAGGGTTAGGGTAACCAATTATGTCACTTTGGTTCATTTGACTTTTTACGTTATTCAGCAATACATTTTAACTAATTTAAAATGATTCAAAATTGTTCAATATCCTTTCCTTATGCATCATTATACATTGGATACATTCTCTATTTAAGTTTTAAAAAGTGATTCAAAGAATAAAAGAAGACAGTTTAACGAAAATATTTAATGAACATCTAAAATAAAGTAAAGTTTGATAGCAAAAATCCCTGAAACCGGAAATTTTTTTCCGGAATGCAATATTCCGGAAAAAAAAATCCGTTTTTAGTGGAACTCTTCTGTGTTTGGAACTCTTATGTGTTTGGATTTTTCTGAGTTTGGAGCTCTTTTGTGCTTGGAACTCTTCTGTGTTTGGAGCTCTTTTGTGTTTGGAACTCTTCTGTGTTTGGAGCTCTTTTGTGTTTGGAACTCTTCTGCGCGTCCAAAACCCCACTATAGGTTACCATTTCCCGCACAAGTTACCCAATCCCGCTATACCCTTACCAAATCCCGCTCTTTTGTGTTTGGAACTCTTCTGTGTTTGGAGCTCTTTTGTGTTTGGAACTCTTCTGCGCGTCCAAGATCACACAGAGCGCGCCCTGACTTTGTGTATATGATGACGCCAGCTGCGGGGTTAGCGTGGGATCTTTCGGTCGTCACATAGAACAGTGTAAGC